AAGCAAAATTCATCAGCTATTTAAGAAAATAATTGTACCACGTGCCTATGTGTATACACGATTTTGTCGTAAGCGTAGTATGGTAACGACGTAAGCCCGAATTAGGCAAGGGTGTACAGTGGTTACCTCCTAAAAAACATTGCACAAAAACTCTGCACCTTCATAAATTTACTGTTAACAATCACATGTGGGGAATGTCCTATGTGGGGAAGTCCGAACACGAGTTCTTGACCAGAAAGATTAAACAACTTTATTTAAATAATTTGATCACTTCTTAACTGCATTAAGAAAAATTTATTCTACAGTTCATTCTCATTGCTGAGTTGTTGTATTTTGGCGTTTAACATTGTTCAAGTTGTCCCGGAACAGGTTTCAATTCAGTGAATTAGTTGCCCGGTTTAAAAAATATATCCCGATATTTTATCATGATTTCCACACTGATCCTTAATAATTTTAGTTCCAGGATTTCCAAAGTTCTTAGATCCAACAGCAGCCGAGCGGTAAAATCGCTGAACACTGGTAGTTCGTTGGTTTCGAATCCAGGTAAAAGGTCTGACCGCATAATCGTTTTCATGGTTTTTCCATATATAACGTGTTTACAAGCCAGTTTCTTTTAGAAACTCTTCCACGATGGCATTTCTCCACTTACGGAGGTAGTCCTAGTGTAAGTTTGCCCTAGTAAACTAAACCAAACTACATCTAACCTAAAGCTGTTATCAGGGTAAACTGGATGAGTCTCTCTCAAAATTCTGCAAACACTGTGTAAAAAGCATCCCATGATTACCAAAAATTATTTTGTAAGCGTAGTGATTTTTCCTTTCATTTGACTGTACTAACTAGCCTATTTCATAACTAATGAAACAGCATTGCATAGTATTCGTTTACAAGAGCTGTTGAAATACGCTCAGGTTTAATGCTTCTTTACGACTTCCACATATGATTATGTGGAAGTTATATTTCATTAGTTATGAAATAGGCCAGTTAATACAGTCAAATGAAAGAAAAAATCGCTATGCTTACAAAATAATTTTTGGTAATCATGCGATGCTTTTTACACAGTGTTTGCAGAATTTTTTTACTCTTAACCTATACCCATACCATAAAACTGAAAAACAAGAAATGAAGGAAAAATTAGCAATAGCCTTATGAGTATTATTTCAACTCTTTGAAAACCAAAACGCCCGAGACATATTCAGTGTTTAGCGTACAAGAAGCTGAACAGCTCTATTTAAGACGGATACATATGATATAGTCATAGAAATAGTTATAATTAATATTTTTGAAGTTATACTCCTCTTCTTTATAATTCATAAGTCTTCAGAATTTTTCTTACCTCAGTTAATTTTCTTTTGCAATTTTTTTCGGCAAATGATAACTTCATTTAAAAGTTCGTTTTTTATTCTTTATTTTCACTTCGTTTATTTCGGAGTTATGATTATTATTCTATTACTTTTGTTTTACTTATACTTTCATTTAATGACTTAAAAATTGTTAAAAAATGTGAAATTTCTAAATAAGCATTTTGATATTTTCGTGGCTACATTTTCGAATGCATTTTCTTGCTGCAAGACCAATAAAACTGATTTCTAAAATTTAATTGTTAATGATTTGTAAGAGTGAAAGAGTTATACTTTTCTTCATGTCCGGTCCGGCGGTATCCATAAATTTATAGTAAATTTATTAGGTAGCCTTTATATTTTACTGCACTGTTTTTTTAAATATTAAATTGCTAAGGTTATTAGAAATATGTAAAGTACAGTCTGGAAAGTGGCAAGTCGCAATTAGATTTTCTAAGATAATTGGAAGACTATTCCCTTTAAAAGGTAGTATAACTGAGAATAAAACGAAACATTTTAAGAATTGTAACAAAGATCTAGCAATTATAAATCAATTTACTTCTATGTAAATTGCGGCTTAAGGAAAAATTTTTTCCCCAGACGGGAAACTAAGCATTTACTTCTCATTTCCGATATTTTTGTCTGACTGTAATTGTGAAATTTTAGTAAAGTAGAAATTTTATATTAATTAACAAGTTATTATGATTGGAAAGTAGTCCTTACCACAATGCAAATTAGTTACTGTGCATTTATGTCGAGTGTTTAAGATATAATAGCACAAGCTACCTTAAAAATCAGGACTGAGAAGTTAAAGGCATGAAAATCATTTTTTTCTGGATTAAAGTACAAACGAAAAAATATTTATAATCAAAATCTCCAAAGGAACGTTGTTACCATACTGTCGTCTAAAGCACCTCGTCAGCATCTCCTTTCCACGAGGAGAAAAAGCGAAAAGATCTTCATTGTTCGGTGCTTCAAATCCCTTTTATACTCGATCAAAACGGAATGCAAATGTCTGATATCGCTACATTAAGGTTCGGCTAGTAGGCACCTTACTGAAAGTTCGTCGCGGGGATTTTATGGAACCACGCGGAAACTCGAACTCTAAAAGCCCACATGCATGTAGAACAGATGAAGTTTCTCTGTCTTTGCAGAATGTTTAGAGCTTCTATTTTGCTGTTATTTACTATCGCTAGTTCTGCGAAAGTTTTATTCTAGCTTTAACAGTTTGCTAGTTGATGTTTAAAGTATGCGCCGTTATTTGTTTTGAGTCAGATGCTGCCTTTTGCGTATATTGTCTCGGACTACGTTGCATGTAGTGGAATTTTGTCCTTATATGTTTAATTAAAACATCAGCATGCAGCAGATATTCAGCAGGTCAAGCAGTTCATTTAAGAATTATATAAAAAATAGTTTATTTTAACCTTCTTAGGACTTGTCATTTTTCGAGACGAAAACGAAATTTTTTTATTCTTAACCCATACCCATACCCAATAAAACTGAAAAACAAAAATAAGGGAAAATCAGCAATTGCGGCAAAACCAAAACGCCTGAGATGTCCTTTCATTCAAACGACCACAACCGCCCGATACGGCTCGGATTACGATGTTGTTTTCTTTCCTTCTCCTAACAGGTATGCAGGACAGGTGCAGTTTCTCCAAATGAATTGTATCAGTTTATTGCAGACAACTTATCCTAAAAGGATTTATTTATGGTTTCTTATCTTTATTTGTTAGGAAGCAGAAAGAATATCATTTGAAATCTTCACACCTCTTTGTGCATTAATAGATGCGAAAGGGAGGGAACTGCTGTGGATCTTAAAAGCCATTTCGGTTCGGTATTTTAAGAAACAGGTTATCGAAGGCTTCGGATTACTGAGAGTTAATTGAAGTGTTAGCTTACTGCGGTACTTGCTTAAAAATAATCGTTCAATTTTTCATGCTCATGTAATGTGAGATGTAACGTGCGTAGATCCCTGGTGTTAAATTATTTAATTAATTTAGTCAAACGCAATCTGTATAATCAGATGCTTTAAATCATTTTCAATGCATGCGGTAACTATGCGTCGATTTATTAAGCGCATAGTTGATGTAGCGAGTTAACGATGTATTTATTACCTTTCTTACTCCTGCAAATTTCAGAAGGGAAATTATCTGTCGCTTTGATCCCTAAAAAAGGGTAGTAGTTTGGAGATATTTGTAACAAGATTTGAGGAAGCAAGGGGTATTTAAATGAGGCAAAGCGCTACATGCAGGTCGCGACCCATAGTTTGTCCATGCCTAGTCTAATCTTTTCATTTTTTGATTCGCGTTGCCTTAGTTCACCACACTTATCCTCCACACGGCTTTTCAGATTCCAAATTCTGAGAGATGTTGCTTTTTTATCTCTTTCTTTCAAATTATTGCAGACATAACTTTTATGAGTATGAAAAATTGTGAGACTTAAAAACAGTGTACTTTATTGTTGAGTATTTTGCGTATTTCTTTTGCTTTTTTATCTTCTGAAATAAAGCAGTACTTTGTTTACCAATGTAAAAAATAAACTAAAGTGAATTCCAGTTAACGGGGTAATACAGGAGATGACGTCCATAGTTAACTAAGAATCACTGACCATCCGAGGGCAGTTAAAAAACTACGAGAAAAAGGGGTAATTCATATTATAATTAACAGAAAAAAATTGCTTACAGCTAACTTGTACTTTCATGTACAAGTGAATTCATTTAGTTATGTAAATTAAATCAGAACTTACTCAAAACAAACAAACAAAAACATTCTAAATATCATAAGAATATAATTTAACAGAAATGAAGAAACTAAATTGTAAAAGACAATGACATGGTATACAATCACAGCTGTAATTTCAGGCTTTTTTCTTTTTGCATTTTCCATAGACAGTTTTGCCTTAGGCTGATAATTTTGGTTAATAATGTTTCCAATGATCTGTGTAGGGATTTATATTTAACTAAAAATTTAAATTTTAAGTTCAGACTTTTCTAAAAGCCTTCATTCCTCTAATTGTCAGTGAAAGAATAGTAATAGTTGAAGTGCGCGTGATGCAAATTTCTGCTTTGCAGGAAGTATTTAAAAGCCGAGTTTCGGTAGGAGAAAAGAGAGTTAGGCTCTAACCGCCGTCTCTGCCGTTTGCTTATTGATGGTTCAAGTGGCTTAAATTGCATTTATCTGCTGCCACTAGCTTCGAAGGGGGTTTAAGTTACGGGATCTCGCTAAGCCCTGTAGGGTAGTTCTATCACTTAATAATATCTTCAAATTTTAGTTTAAATTATCTGACTTTCAGTTACCGCCCAAGCAGAGGCGAAATTTGTTAGTGTCGAGTTGACGCATTGTAAATTTTCAAAGGTTTAAAAAAGGGTACTTTAATCCTTCTCTTCTATAGTTTCCTGCTACTCCAGTTCTCAGACACAAGTTTCTCTATTAGACCCTACTTCTATAATAAAAACCTTAATTTTTCTTTTACACACGGCCAGGTTAACTGGTTTTGGTTTTGGTTTTATTAGATTATGACAAAGCACTCGAGGTCTATCTGCCTTAAGGGAGGGATGCCTTCGTGGAGGACTTTCTAAGGGAAACTGTCTCGTATACACGTTACACATGGGAAAAACCACGAAAACGCCCATGCAGCCAGCCCGTTCGCGGGATTTGAACCTCGGACCGAACTAGCAGTGTTCAGCGACGTTACCGCTCTGCGCTGGTGGGCACCCAGGTTAACTGGGAGCTGAATGTGTTTAAAATGAGTATGTTACTTGAAATTTAATATAAATACCAGGGATAAAGCACAGAGGGAGGTTACACAATTTTAAAATGATTTCCACGCCGTTTAATTAATCTTTAAAATGTTAAGAGTATTATTTTAAATATTCGATCTGATAGCTTTTTTTTACCAGACTATAAGTCTCTGCATGATATTCTTGATAGAAGGGCTTTTAGTAAAATTTCTAAGGGTACTGATTTCCATTCCTCTTCTACTTTCTAGTTCAGCAATCGTCATGGGTTTGTACTTAAGAAGAGTTCTTTATGAAGAGGAAAAATACACTATAATTCATAGGTGAAACGTCCGAGGAATCAGCAGGAATATGATGAAAAGGTACATTGATGTACAATTGCTAAGGACGGATGACAGTAACAGGGATGGCAAGAACAAAATGGAAGGCAGAAAAATGTGAAAATTAGCATTAAGTGCGGGATGCAGTAAGACGTGTTGTGCATATGAAAAGTTTGGATTGACGATGTTATTTGTCAAATGATGCGCTTATTATAAAAGAGATAAAGTATTTGACGCGTATTGACATTTGTTATTCAAAAGCAAAATTTAACGGGTAAGCATGTAATTGACGAACTTGAAATTGTCTTTCCGACGTCATTTAGATTAGATCCTATTAGTGGAAACGTTGAAGAAGGGCGAAAAACAACAGATGTTGCTACGACGTCAGCCATAGTGTTGTTTCAAGGCTTTGGAAGTCACTTCAAACAAATGGAATGTGTAGCAAACGTCACGGGAAGGTCATGTTCGCAATGCGACGCCCGCAGAAGATGGGTACATAGTGCTATCAACAAAAATGAATCGACGAAGCACAGTTATTGAGGTAACAAATCAGTTACCTTCTGCAACTGGCAAGCGAAGCTTCGCAAAACTGTAGCCAGACGTTTGCATCAAAGATGACTATACGCCTGTCGTCCCGTTGAGTGCATTCCATTACATAGACAACAACGTATTGCTCGTTTGCAATGGTATAATGAGCATCGTAACTGGATTAAATAGAACTGGTTTTGTGTACTAGTCTTAAAGCACAGTAGATTCAGTCTGTGATTGGATTACAGACGCCAACTTATCTGGCGTGTGAGTGGTACTGCTTATCGTCCAGAAAATATCCACGAAAGGACAGGTATTAAAGATGCAGTATCAGGGTAATGGCCGACATTATGATCAATGGCCGCACGTCCGTACACATATTTGCAACTGGTAATATGACTGGCCAGCAATACATTAATGATGCTCTGCTGCTTCATGTTCGCATGTTCCATGCTGCTGTCTATGACAAATTTGTTTCATGGACAACAATGCAGCATGCCATCGAACAGTAGCCGTAGGACACCCTTATCCGTGACGACAGATGAAGGGGATAAATTACCCCAACAGCTGTTGGATAATGTTGTGCAAAGTAGGAAACGACTTGTGGAATCTTCCCTCATCCTCCATGATGACCGTATACCAAACTGACATCTTACGTCAGAATACCTGTGTACGATGACTGCAGTTTTTTCACTTTTACGTATTCAGCACAATATGATTATTTTGTCTCTTGAACACTTTTAAAAGAATTCTGCACTCATGTTCACAAATTAAGGATAATGCCAGCTCCAACAAATAAAGCCTTAGAAACAAAGCAAATATGACTTCTTCACAAAGCCCATTTATTAAACATCTTGTACCTTCGCAACGATGTCGTTCAATGATGTTGTCTTGGTGGTAAGCGGGTAACTGAAGTTCTCCATATGAAAGTCCGAGTGGGATCAGACTGCAAGTTAAAGACTCTTCGAAAAGCGTCACACAAGCCCAATGTGACGATGTCCACATTTCATTTTCTCTACTCCAGGCTAACCGCTGGCGACAGTGAGTTGCATTGAGCGAAACACATCTGATAAGCCTCCAAGCATATAAAACCAAACTGTCCCAAACGTCTGTTCACGGTTTGCCTCGAAACTGTCGTACCACAGCTGGTGAGACAGGTCTGATGCTGTGCTCCGTCTGTTTCTTTTGGCAGTTACTACCGAATACCGGTCGTCATTTGGCGTTGTAACTCAGGGGCCACCTGTACTGTAACGTCTACTGACATTTCCATCATTTTGGAATCTTTACCAAAGCCTAGAGATGACACTTTGAGACCTTTACAAGGTTGTCGATTTGCCTGTTTTATTAACTTTATTTATTAAATATCATGTTCTTCGCAGTTTCGTCACATAAAACTCACTTCAAGAAAAAAATCACAATATATTTAAAAACAGCATATCTTTAGAATTTCCGATTGAAAGATTTGCGAGATGGAGATAAAAATGTTTTATTCCGTATAATGTTGCCACTTCTCGCTTTCAAATCATTGAGTTTGTTAATCTAAAATTTGTTAAAGTTTCAGAGAATATGAAACATAAAATTGGAAATACAAAATAAGGGCTTTCTGGAGCATATGTTCGGTTGGAATACTACGGTATTAAAAAATTTTATGGCTCTACCTGCTGTCGTTATACATGCATGCAGATTCTTCTTTATTTAATTTTGTCTAAAAAATACAGAGGGATAATATTTGGTAGCAACAATTTGGAAAGTGATACAGCCATTTATAATGAATTAACGCAAAATCCTGTTTGGAGACTAATAGCCCATTTGGGCTAATGATAATTCTATTAAACTCTGAAATGATCGCTATAGTAGAACAGAATTGAGAATTAGATAATTATTTATCCGCAATAATTCTCAATTACTTCTCTTTATAATAATCATTAAGTTAATAAACAAACACTCAGTTTTAAGTGGGTGTCACTCAGTTTTACAATTGAACAAAAGATAAAAAATAAAATTTTGCTGTATAAAAAGAATGATTTTGAAAATCATTTATTCTATGTTATAAGTATTTTGAAAGAAATTTATAAACTTCTTTTCATTTAAAATTTTTGAAAATTTTTAATTTGTTAAATAATTAGCTACATTGTTCTCCTCGAAACTATACTGTATTTTGTTTTTCTTTAATAATTAAGTAGAACAGATTTTTTAAAATTTCATATTGCGAATAGTTTTAATAAGCTTTTATTTACTCTTTATAAATTAGTATAAAATTGGAATTATTAGTACAAATCTGGCATTTTTGTAAATTTGAGCAATCAGCTTTTAATCAAAATGAAAAGTAACTATCAAATATGTTTCAACTGAATTTCAAGAACTTCCCACTCTTTGTCGCGAAACAAAGACAATTATTTGAAGCCATATTTCGGCGATGGTATCGACAAGTTCCTTGGTATTATTTCCAAAGCAACTTGATCAGATTGCAAGGCTTTGTCATGCCTCTTACTGTAGTAAAGACACGTTTCAATTGATATATTCCTTTCCCTCTCCTTTTTTTTTTTTTTTTTTTTTTCATTCTCCTTTTTTTATATGTGATCCTTTCATCTCTTCTTTTTATGCATTTCCTTTTATTTGTTTCAGATTCGAGTTCCGGCTCAACGAATCAGCCGTTTGCATCCATTATTCCGATTAGTACTCAGAAGTTGACCATAAAAAATTCTGGCTAGCTTCTTAATGACTTCAACTTAAAAAAGATCGGGATTTTAGCTTCATGGTTTTGCACCCCATGGTGAATAGGAAGTGGATAATCCATCACAAAGAGATTCTTAAAATTTCAAGATGGCAAGATAAGCAGTTCTGACGATTCGAGATGATCTCAACCAATAAAGATAAGTCCTGAGGTATTTTAATGAAGCTGTATGCACACTAGGAAAAATAATTCTTTTGCTCTTAAGATCAAACTGATGACAGCGTATCATTTTTATTTTAAGACAACACTAATAATTTTTCCTTAATTGTATAAAGAGGAATAAACCTTAGATTTGCGTTGCCAACACTTTATTGTCTTCAACTTTTGCTTAAGTTATTTCTCGTTATACATAGTTATAAAGCCATAGTTATCAGAGAACTCCTATGTAGTCTACAGCAAAGATAATAAAGCAGTCTTTTGAACAGTATTAAATTTATTAATAAAATTATTTCAGTGATTATTTAATAACGTTAGCAAGCCTATGAGCTGATAAATTAGGTAAGAAGGGAATCAGCTTGCTTAGTATCTTATAATGAGAAATAGTACACGGCCAAGATGAAATCTGTCTTAAGTCGAGCCATGCAGAATAAAATGTCACTCCAATTACTATTTTATCTGAAAAAAACTATTATGTATTTTTTTAAAAAAATATATAAGTATATAAAGAAAAATAATAAAATAGATACATAAAAGAGCATAAAAAATTACATAGATTTTCAGAGTTTCACAACAACGTTATTACAAACTGAATAGAATCATCATTATATCGCTAATTTCAGTTTTTTACATATATAATATCGTCACATACCATTACGCGTATTTTTTAGTACAACACTATCATGCTTGTTATAGATATTTACTTAGCATCTAGGCATGCACAAAAACGCATTAGAAATCAACATAAAAGCGCACTTAAGAACAAATTTGGACGTGCAAAAGAGATGCTGTCATGTAATACACGCGGTAAGTAAAGGGGAATATTGTAATAATGCATAATAAACAAAACACATGAATACCATAAATTATATAACAATAAATAAAACAAGATACATAATAAAAAATAATCATACAGAGCACATAAAATTAGATAAATTGTGCCCAAAGATGAAGCGATTTCTTAAATATCACAGTTTTCACTAAAGATGAGAAATTAATTAATAGCTCTTTCAATCCTTAGCTAAGAATATTAATTGAAAGCTCATTCTCAGCCCAAACCGCCCACTGCTTAGAGCTAATAATTTGAAATGGTGGTCTCGAGTAAAGGGGTAGCCAAATGTGTAGTGATCGTGGTTGCTAAGCCAGCCACATTCATAGATGTCCATATTACTATGCCATATCGACTGAGACAAGACAGAAAGAGACCGTGACCTGGTAGAAACTGAGCAATAATTTGCTTTATTAGTTTGCAGTCCTGTCCTAACTTTCAGCATCACCGATGGGTACCCCTGCCCGTTGCAGGTGAATCACAACGCGTTCCTGCGGCTTTACAAGAAGATACTTACAGGAAGATACTGTTTCAGAAATGTAGGTGAAAGTGGAAACGGGATGCTCCCAGAAGGGATGGATCATTGAGTTCATTCTTCACAACGGTAACTGCCTGTTAATTCCCAGAATACCATTGTGAACCGCACTTAACATACAGTAAGTATCTCATAGACTGGACATTCAAGCAGTGCTTTACGTAGTTGGCTTAATGGATTGAGGCAAGTTGAGAAGACGAGTCACTGTACATCACCAATGCGTTCTGGGAACTGCGGTTCGAACAGACGATAGCCTTTCTTCTTATTATTAATTCTGCTTGGTGATAATGAGAAACAAATTAAGTAAATTTAAGATTAAATGCCATTGTTCTAATATTTTGGGATTTAGATACGGTGTTGAATAAATGTTCTGTTATATCTTGTCAATAAGTTTCTTAGATTTCTGTCTAAAGCATACCAAAAGATATATTATGGCTGTAGCAATATCTCTATATGGAAAGAAAGAGTACAACTCAGGAATTAATCTACAATTTCAAAAATACTTTATAATAAAGAAGGGGGAAACTCTAATTTTGAAAATTTTAGATTTCCCTCTAGCATCTCGAAAAGTCTGCCATTTAAGTTCTAAAATGTTAAAAAAAAATTTTAATTTAAAAATATAAAACCATAAGGTTAAGAAGAAATTAAAGTATGATTTTGTTATGTATCTGCCGTACTGATTCTTGAAATAATTTTAAACTAAGCAGTTACTATAAGCCTACTAGTTTAAGAATCAATGCCACCAGAAATTATGTAAGGATTTTCTCCCTCTTTACGGCGTGCCTTTGTGTTGTAATTGGAAAACACGTCCAGCTAGTATCGGAGAGTTCGGATTTCGAATCTGCGAAGGCACTGCATATTTGCCAAATTGCTTCGACAAATGTAATAGATTCTACAGTTAAAGCTATAGATTATAAAACATTGCATTAAAAATGAGTTGTTTAAAATGAGAAAACCAAAGAATAAGAAAAAATATCATAAGGAGGAGAATGGCGAATTATTTAATTCTTCAAAATGCAGGCGTGCACAAGTTTCACTGGATCGCTTGTGCACGTGTCTTGTACTGCAGAGGAAGAAGGGAGGGAGTCAAAAAAGATTTTGATTTACAAATTACTTTGATTGGGCAGGAGATATCTGCATTAAGGGTTACGTAAGACCGCATGATTAATTTGAATGGACAGTTTTGATTTTATAGCTCTGTTTTTAAGACAGAGTTATAAAGTCCACAAATTGAATAAAAAATAAAGGAGGTTATAGCCAATCAAATTTAGAGGTTTGGTTTCGTATTTTTTAGCTTACACATATATAGTCTGTTTGTTAGTGTGTGTGTGAGTCATAGGAATCTACAGTTTTATTCCTAACCGAATGCAATTTAGTGCATTTGACCTTTAAAAAAAGAGGAAGGTCACCGTCTACATAAGGTTTCGAGAAACCACTCCACGAGGTCCACACTAAGGGCGTTGTGTTAGAACGTTATGCTCACGACATCTATCTTGTGTACACGTCACCTACCACGTCGCCATTCTTGCTTTCCCACTATCGCTAGAAATCAACCATGCTAAGCAATTCTTTTTATTACAAAAAGTATATATTAGTATTTCTATTCAGTTTTAAATCTGAAATCATATCACCCGTCTTATGTCCACGTCGCCGTTGCTGCGTTCGCTCTTTCAATTCTTGCTAAAATATTACACGGTGCCTTGTTCGTTTACTCTTTAGAAAAATGTAGAACCTTTAAAGTAGAATTTAACTGAGGGCGTTGTACCAGATTATTATTATTATTATTATTATTTTTTTTTTTCATTTCGAAAATCGTGAAGAAATTGGCCAAAGTGGATCGTTATTTTTGAAAGCTAATTTCAACAAAAAGGAATAAAGGACAACAAAGCAAAACTCAGCTTTTCAAGTAATCGATGGAAAGCTAGATAATAACTCATATAACAAGCTTATCCAGAAAATGCTTCTCAGCAATTTTGTCATCTTTTTGTCTATTGATTCTGTAATGGATAGAGAGCAAGCTGTGCATTTTTGGCATAACTTTTAAATGCTCTTTGAGCACCTAGGAATACAGCCTTTAAATACAGTTCACTTTAAATAAAAGATCGCCTGTCATATTATTAGATAACATAGACCCACCAAAGCTGTTCAGTGCAACAAGGCTCACCATGAAGAATGTATTGCCGAATATAATAGAGACCGCCATTACCATGAGGTGCGCCGTAGTTAAAGATTGTGTTCATTCCCCCCCCCATTTTGTTGAACATCGAAAACAATTAAAAATGATAATATTATTATAAATATTTTATATAAATGTATATTTTGTAGGAAAATATTTTACAGGATATTAGATGAATGTGTTTTTGATTAACACGAGAATGCTACATATCTTATGTATTTTTAAAAAGGTGAAAAATGTGTAACGTAATTGTGTAAAAATAATTTAGTATTCTGAAGTAGATATATCGTGAATTAAATGCATTTTTATTTAAATCAATCCGATTAAAAAGTAAAATAAATAATATTAAGAACTTTGTACTTTACACAGCCTGTAATAGAAAAGATGTTCTCAAATTAAAGGATAAATAGAAATTAAAAATTTTACAGCTTTTATAATAAATTTCCCTGTAACATGTGAAACGCGAATGAAAAAACAGAAATACGGTAAATATGAAGAAGATTCGTTTTAATCACGGATTTTATGAGAAACTGTATTTGATACTTAGATGATTTGTTCAAATGAAAGACTACCAAGTGCGATATATGTTTTATTACGACGATGGAGTAATTGACATTTACCATCAAGCGTCTCCTTACGGCAAGCTTCTGGGCTTCCGACAACATAGCTGCAAAAATTATTCATTTTGCCATATTTTATCTCCTCTAAAATTTATGATCATGTTTCGGTTTTGTCTCGAATACGCCTTTAAGTTGCTATTGAAGATATTCATTACTTAAAAAAATCAGCTCATAATTTGCCATCTTCGTAAATAAAACTCATTTTGGTAAAATTAGACATTGAAATTCTGATCATTTTTGAAGAAATATTCGGTAATCATAATGTCTAAACAAACAATATTGCGTGACAAAAAATCTTACTTAAATCTTAAGCTACTTCAAATTACCATCATTTCTTGGCAAAACGATTTAGGGAGGGGGGAACTTCAGTTTACTCTGAAAAAGTTACAACAATCTTTTCTTACCTAATACTTAAATAAATATATAACAGACGACGGTGTATTTCATTCTTATTTCTTTTTAAAAAAATCTTTGGTATATGTTGAGATATAGAAGGATTTGAATCATTTTTATCCTCTGTGTTACCACAAATGTCTGCCATCTCAAGAAATAGCAAATGACTGAAATTTTTACTTGAAGAATCGTTCAAACTCTATATATTCACGATTAAATTAATACTGTTGAAATTATCAGACTCTTATTATTTTGAGCGCTAACAACTTTCCCTAAAAGAGAACCAACCAAAATTTTCAAGCTAATAAAGCTTTAGAACCGATTTTGACTCGGTCCCTTTTTTAAAGGGCTATATAATTTTTTTTTATCTTGATGTAAAAATCGGTATATTTTTAACCCTCCATACAAAGAAAATATCATTATTTGCCCGTAAATTTTCATCCACTGCTGATAAGCAAATAAAACTAGAAATCATATTACGAGACGTGAACCGATCAAGTAATCTAATGCGAACATCATTTTCAAACGAAAGTGCAGTTGTCGAAAGTTGTCGAAGTTGCAAAATTTTTTCTGTTTGCAGCCTTGACATGATGAA